CCCATTGTTCTATATCCATCATATCCTGTCTTGAACGCACGCACTTGCTGTTGATGAGGTCAGGAGACACAACTCATACGGCCTCATATCCATAATTCTGATCAATTTTGAGTTCAATACTAGTGTTCAATGAATGTGTCTGGCTGACACATTCTCAGCCTGAGACCAGCATCCCCCAACCTGGGTAAATATGTCCTTGCAGATTCCTTAGCATCCAGCATTGTTCAGTTCAGCATTCAGCACAGTGAATTGTAATGGTCTGTGTACTTACCTACACCCAGACAAGACTGTGAACTCCCTGAGGAGACTGGCATGATCTTATTCTTTCTCCTAGCCTCAGCTGCCAGCATGGTACCTGGCACGTACGTGTTAGGTAAATATTTTTTTAAACAAATAAGTGAGCTAATTCCATAATTTTATAAGGCTAGTGAGAGACTGATTTCTGCCAGCACTCTCGGGAAGAGGCTGGATTGCTTTGGGTCTGTACACAGACATACGTGTATATATGTTATAGAAGAGCTGGTCTTGTATGTAGGAAACTGTCTAATTTAAGGCTACTAGGAAAACACACACACACAGACACACACACACACACACACACACACACACACACACACACTTTCGTTAGAATCTTCCCAAATCAGAAGCTGAGGTGTCTGACTTTCACCATTAGAGAGTCATACCTTTGGATATACATGGCTTCCTCTCAACATATCTTGAAACTATGTGACCTTGTTATCACAAAAAAATTAAATCTCAGACATCCCCAGCATCTGAGATGTATCCTCAAGCAGTGCTCCCCCTAGCTCTGTTGAGAATCTCAGACAGACCCCTGCTTACTCTCTGTATTTTGCATTAGAAAGTGACTGACTTGTGTCTTTAAAAATATATAGCTATATGTCAAGTAAGTACTTTCAAATTATATATATCATATTTACAAACAACTAAAACATATCAATTTGTAGAACTCCATGAATTCAAAATGATACTAAAAATAAAAACCAAAACGTAATTGGCCACCATTAAATCTAGTGATCAACTTCTTATATTGAAATTGGCAAATGAAGGCAAAGAATCAAGCATTTATTCTTTCCTATATAAACTGTACCACTGGGTAACCAAAATGTAATTAAGGTCGAAATTTATCTTCACAACAAGAATTCAGCAAGTAAGTAAAGAATAAATGACAGAATCAGAGTATCACTCCCTGAAATAGAATTATAACATATTCATGAATTAATGAATTTACACATTGAGCATCAATGTCTGGTAACATCACAGAAAGAAAGGCAACCAGACATCATATGCCTTCTGATGGAAGTATAAAATACCAAGTATAACAAAGTCTGATCAAACTACTAGGAAAACACAAACACACAGACACACACACACACACACACACTCTTTCGTTAGAATCTTCCCAAATCAGAAGCTGAGGTGTCTGACCTTCACCATTAGAGAGTCATACCTTTGGATATACATAGCTTGATCCAACAATCAATTCATAAGAAATATAGAGAAGAGTATAACAGCATAACATGTTAAACGACATGTTAAACCAACAAATTTTTTTTTTTTTTTTTTTTTTTGAGATGGAGTCTCGCTTTGTCGCCCAGGCTGGAGTGCGGTAGTGCTATCTCGGCTCACTGCAAGCTCCGCCTCCTGGGTTCACACCATTCTCCTGCCTCAGCCTCCCGAGTAGCTGGAACTACAGGCACCCGCCACCACGCCCAGCTAATTTTTGTATTTTTAGTAGAGGTGGGGTTTCAGTGTGTTAGCCAGATGGTCTCAATCTCCTGACCTTGTGATCCACCCACCTCAGCCTCCCAACAAAGTATTTTTAAAAGACAACATTTATGAGACAATCAAAAATTTGAACACTGGCAGTATATATGATTATATTAAATAGTTATCACTTTTTTTTTTTAGGTTGGATAATGCCATTGAGGCTACATTTAAAAAAAATCCTTAACTTTTAGAAATGCACACTAAAATATTTACAGATGAAATAATATGACGTTTGGAATTTGCTTCAAAAATAATGCAGAGTAGGGACAGAGCAGTGGGACAAGATGGTCTTGAGTTGATAGTTGTTGAAACTGAGCAACAGGTATATGGGAGTTCATTCTCCCATTTTGTCTACTTTTGCATACACTTAAAATGTGCCATATAAAACATTTTTTTCTTTTAAATTATTAACTGATTCCGAAACATTCCTATATTCTTGTCCTAAGGGATAGCTATCCCTCTCCCACTCCTTGAGATCATTATCCTAGAGAATCTTCTGGAAATTGCAAATATCCCAAGGAAAGTAACTTGTTAATTCATTAACAGCTATCTGTATACTAATATAGAGGGTTATTTCCTAGAACGCCTTTAACACTGAAAATACGGAGTTCCTGTGAGTAGAGGTAAAATAAAACTTTGGGGGAGGGAAACAGAAGGGCAGAGGGAGGGAAGAAGAAAGAAGAAGAATAAATTTTGTCTTCATTACAGTTTTCCAAAGGCCTTCATTTGTTGGCATATACATCTTCTTTTTAGCGGGTTTTAGTAAGAGAACTTTCACGGGGGGTGGGGAGCGGGGGGAGAGAAATGCTTACATTCTTGGCTCTTAGGTTAAATTTTCACAAAGGATCCCTTTTTATGTTGTCAAAGGGTAATATAAATATTTTTAGGACAAAAAGGGCTTCTTTTTGCATTACCCAGTGATCCAATGATGAGACTGCTTGGGTGGGGCTAGGGTAAATTTTTGCCTGAACCTGAGAACCGTCTAGACCTGTACACAAGACCACAAGGGTGTGGAAACCAGGAGAGTAAGAGTCACTTCAACTGCTGGAGAATATAGCTTTCATAGAAGATCTCTGGAAGAACACCAAGAAAGTGGCTGCCTCTGGGGAGGGAAACTGGGGCACTTGGGATATATTGGGAGGGGGAAAAAGGATGGCTCTTTATTGTTACAGCCAAGTTATACTGTGGTCAGCGCCTTAAAATATGTGACGACATCTTGTAAACAGGCTTTTGTTGACCTAAGTGACTGTACCTTTTATCTTGAAATTAGATAGAAGACAAATGGCTATTTATGGGTTCCTTGGCTGTCCCAGCTGCTGGGCACCACCCACTCTGTTTGCATGTGTTCCTCATATTCTCTGGCCCTGCCCTCCCTTCCGCACCCCAGCCTCTCCGAATCTAATTAAGAATAGTAGATGGGCCGGGTGCGGTGGCTCAAGCCTGTAATCCCAGCACTTTGGGAGGCCGAGACGGGCGGATCACGAGGTCAGGAGATCGAGACCATCCTGGCTAACCCGGTGAAACCCCATCTCTACTAAAAAATACAAAAAAAACTAGCCGGGTGAGGTGGCAGGCGCCTGTAGTCCCAGCTACTCGGGAGGCTGAGGCAGGAGAATGGCGTAAACCCGGGAGGCAGACCTTGGGTGAGGCTAGATCCCGCCCCCCCACTCCAGCCTGGGTGACAAAGCGAAGCCCCCTCCCAAAAAAAAAAAAAAAAAAAGAATAGTAGATGGTCACTAGAACTGACAAGAATCACATTCTAATAGTTTTATTACAACTTCTATGGTGTGACATAGTATCAGGGAAAACCCAAATTTCCCACAGTAGCACTCCAATAGCAGAGCTGTATGCTCCTGTTTTACCTTAAATATTCAAGTGAATTCTGTGGCTTATGATTTAAGCACTCCGTTTCTATAGAACATGGTATCATAAGTTACTATTAGGAAAAGGGTCTCACCATCTTTATCCTGTGGTCTCAAGCAGCAGCCCGGCACACTTTGCAGATCCCTAGAATACTGAGTCTACTTTTATATTTTTGCTTTTTCCTGTTTATTTAGGTGTTATTTACATACATTAAAATTCACTCACTTTAACTGTACAGTTTAACTTTTCTTATTGTATACAAGGCGTAACTACCAGCATGATCAAAATGTAAGATGGTTCCTTTACCTTCGAAAGCTTTTCCGTCCCCTTTTGTCCGAGTTCAGTTATGAGACACTGGATTGGGTTTCACAGCCTTTTCTAGCATTGATTGGGGTGATTTCAGCAAAGTCGCTTTACCTCTCTAGCTGTGTTTCTGCCGCTGTTAAATGAGGAATGCTGGAACAGATTTGTTTCCAGGGACTCTTGCAATACTTGCAGAAAACGCGAGAGTGGGGTGAGTGTGGAAATCACACACTTGTGGGCCCCATGATTGATACTAATGGGTAAAAGCATGTGGTTGTATCAGTTAAGGTTCTTCTCTCTTCTCTTGCTAGCGTGTTATTATTTATTTTATTTATTTATTTTTTGAGAAGGAGTCTCGCTCTTGTCGCCCAGGCTGGAGTAGGCTGGAGTGCAGTGGCGTGATCTCGGTTCATTGCAACCTCCGCCTCGGGTTCAAGCAATTCTCCTGCCTCGGCTCCTAAGTAGCTGGGATTACATGCACCCGCTACCACACCCGGCTAATTTTTGTACGTTTAGTAGAGACGGGGTTTCACCATGTTTGGACATGCTGGTCTCCAACTCCTGACCTCAGGTGATCCACTCGCCTCAGCCTCCCAAAGTGCTGAGATTACAGGCTTGAGCCACCGCGCCCGGCCGTTAGCGTGTTATCTTGTCTAAGCATCAGTTTCCTCATCTGCAACACCAGGCTTATTAACAAGACCTATCTGTACACTGTTGTGGTGATGAAGTGAGATGTTCATGCACCCTTAAATGTGGGTTGATATTTTTATTACAGTATACTGTAAAGTCACTGCATTCGGCTATCTCCGGTACTACACATTTACACAGACTGATTTCCATAACCAAAACACAAGCACAAAGCTCATGCCTCCGACCCAAGCAACGCGGGAAGCCCAGCTGCCCACGTTCTGGGGCTCTGAGAACAAATGGGAACCAACGCCCGTGCTTTCAAAGTGCTGCGGTAGGGGGCAGAATCGGGAACCGGATGTTCTAAGACTGTCGCACGAGCGCGACGTAAAGCGGATCTGCTTTATGGCACCTTGCTTTCGCCGTAAAGCGCCATCAGGGAGCCCACGTGGTTGTGTTGACTGGACAGCTTCCTGGTGAAAAACGCGACTTTTCCAAGTGGGCAAACTTGACGTTGTCGCTATGGGCAAACGCGGGAGCCGGAGCCAGAGCCAGCTACTCAACACCCTAACTAAAAAGCAGAAGAAACATCTTCGAGATTTCGGCGAGGAGCATCCCTTCTATGACAGGTCTGAAGGGGCGTGACAGGGTTCCCCAGTCGCCAGGGTCGTATCCTCGGGTTTTGTCCTCTGGCCTCCCGGATAGTGCTGCTCCGGCCTTTTCCCACGCTTCCCTGGCTCCCGCCGTGCTCGGCCGGGGAGATTCTGGCGCCATCCCGCCGGGAGATGGAGTGCTTCACGGGCCTTTTTGTTGAGCCCGTAATTTCATGCTAAGAGACACGCCCGTTGTTTGGGGGCGGCTTTTGTGGGTTTTTTTTTTTTTTTTTTTTTTTTTTTTTTTTGAGACAATGTTTCACTCTGTCGCCCAGGCTGGAGTGCAGTGGCGCGATCTTGGCTCACGCAACTTCTGCCTCCCGGGCTCAAGCGATTTTTCTGCCTCAGCCTCCCGTGTAGCTGGGATTACAGGCGCCGGCCACCACGCCCGGCTAATGTTTTTTGTATTTTTAGTAGGGATGGGGTTTCACCATGTTGGCCAGGCTGGTCTTGAACTCCTGACCTCAGGTGATCCACCCACCTGGGCTTCCCAAAGTGTTGGGATTACGGGCGTGAGCCACCGCGCCCGGCTATGGGGCCAGATTTTTGTGTGGTCAGAGATCTTCTAGGAATTTTTTGTGGAGATATATATATATCCACAAAACATATATATATATATATATATATATATATATTTTTTTTTTTTTTTTTAGACGGAGTCTCGCTTTGTCGCCCAGGCTGGCGTGCAGTGGCGCGATCTCAGCTCACTGCAACCTCCGTCTCCCGGGCTTAAGCGATTCTCCTGCCTCAGCTTCCCGTGTAGCTGGGATTACAGGCGCCTGCCACCACACCCGATCAATTTTTTGTATTTTCAGTACAGACGGGGTTTCACCATGTTGGCCAGGGTGGTCTCGAACTATTGACCTCAGGTCATCTGCCCGCCTCGGCCTCCCAAAGTGCTGGGATTACAGGCATGAACCACCGCGCTTGGCCTGTTTTTATAATTATTTTTAACTTACATAAAATGAATGTACATATTTGTGGGATATAGTGTGATATTTTGATACCAATACATGTACCCAATGTGTAATAATCAAATCCGGGTAATTAGCATATTCATCATCTCAAACATCATTTCTTTGCTTTGGGAACATTGAAAATCGGCTCTTCTAGCCATTTGAAAATATACAATAAATTGTTATGGTCACATTATATGTTTTCTGTGTTTTTAAAGAATTTGTTGGGACATCATTGATCTATGCAATTACAATAAGGAAATAAGTGTATATAGTAGTTGTGGTTTCTCTAGAAATGTGTAGGTGCAGTTATGATCTCAGTGCTCATCCCACTACTTTGGGCTGCTTTATTATCAGTTAGGGACATTCTTTTTTAATTTTTTTTCGAGACAGGGTCTCACTTCGTTGCCTAGGCTGGAATCCAGTGCTGCAATCCTGGCTCACTGCAGCCACCACCTCCTGGGCTCAAGCAGTCCTCCTGCCTCAGCCTTCCCAGTAGCTGAGACTACAGGTGCACAGCACAACACTGGGCTAATTTTTCTTATTTTTTGTAGAGATGAGGTCTCAGTATGTTACCCAAGTTGGTCTCAAACTCCTGGGCTCAAGTGATTCTCCCACCTTGGCCTCCTAAAGTGCTGGGATTCCAGATATGAGCCACCACTCCCAGCTTAGAGGGACATTCTAATTAAGAAATTTGCTAGAAAAAGATGAACCCCGAGATCTTTTATTTAGCCAAGTTGTATCCTTCTTTTGGATGAGAGCCATGTATAACTCTAGTGTTTGTCATGTGACCTCGTTAAACTTTTCATTTGTCAGTTATTAAGCATATTCTTGCAAGCCCTGCCCAAGTGCATGTGTAATTTTTGCATGACTATATCTAAAATGTATTTATAATGTTATATTCTGCCTTTTTCATTTAATGTCTCATTTGACCTTTTCCTAATTTCTACATACTAATAGTTAGAGTGTAACATTGCCTGTTTCTTTTTAGGGTTTCCAGAAAGGAAGCAAAACCACAGATTTGTCAACTGGTAATGCTTTATACCTTCTTTTTAATAGTTGGTTTGGGGTTGTTGCCACTAAGATTATATCTAATAATAAAGCTTGATTACATTTCTATTCCTTTTGATTTCAGATGCAAGCTATTATTTTGGCAATATTACTTAATTTTAAATGAAGATGTCTATAAAAATGCCATTGTGATATCTAATACAGAAGCTACAGTTTGAAATTGTCCCAGGAGACTAGCCTATTAGGCCCTGTTACAGAGGCTTACCAGAGGGCTCTTAGTGAATCCTAAGAGGGAATATCTTTTTTGGTTAGCATAAAGGAATCACAAATACAGTGCAAAATGAACAAAGGGGCTATCATATTAAAACAAACTAAAAAAGAAGAAAAACCTGTTTTCTTTTGTTGTTTTGTAATTGTCCTGTTGTTCTGTTAAACCTGTGGCCTGATGCCTGGGACATAAATTAAATCTCATAACCTGAAGTTTTATGTTTTAAAAGTGGGCAGTAGCAGTTTGGAGAATATGAAGAGCTTCTAGAATCATAGCTAGATTAGCAATTTTAAGTAAATTTGAATTTGGGCTTCGTTTAATAGATGTTGGCTTGATGATAGTTTTAGGGTAACAATGAGAACAATACAGTTTTTGTTCTTAAAATTCTCCTTTTCTTTTTAGTCAGAGAGTTCAGATTCTTCAGATTCTGAAAGTGAATCAGAGAGTGAGCCAGAACAAGTTTCTGGCTACCACAAACTACTTGCTACATTAAAAAATGTTTCTGAGGAAGAAGAGGAGGATGAAGAGGAGGAAGAGGAAGAAGACAGTATTGTAGATGATGCAGAAATGAACGATGAAGGTGGTGGTAGCGATGTCAGTGTGGAAGAAAAGATGGCTGCAGAGTCTACTGAAAGTCCAGAGAGTAGGTGTCTTTAATATAGGCTTATGATCTTTGCCAGAACTATAGACAGTTCACCTCACGGGCATGGTACCTTGTATACTGTGTGAGTTGGATGAAAGGACGTGAATCCAAACCAGGGTTTTAACCTTGTTGGGTTTGATTATATCTTTGAGAATCTGATGGAAACACAGAACCTTCTTAGCACAGCTATGCAGAAATAACATTTTTGCTTGTCATTTCAGGGACTACACCAGTACTAGTGAAAGACCTCCTAACACAGAGGAAGGAGAACACAGTTCTCTCTTTGTGACTGTCTGAATTTATTGAAGAGGTTACTGTTCTTCCCTTAGGGAGACCAAGTTTGATGGAAGATAGACATAAAAACATATAAAAATTTTCAAACAGTAGATTTGCAATTGCATGGAACAGCTAGATGTAAGGGGTTGAAGAGACGCAGAGTGGTTGAACACGGCCAGCGTAAACTAGGGAAGGCTTCAGGGACTCTGTCTCACTCAGACTTCAAGGTGACTTTTTTCTTCAACTTCAAAATCACCTTCATTGAGGTATCATTTACATACAGTAAAATGTATCCAATTTAAATATGCAGTCTGATGGGTTTTGATAAAGGTATATATCCAAATCAAGATACAGAACATTTCCATTACCTCCAGAAATTTTTCTTGTCCTTTTGCAATCAGTTCCCCACCCTTGGCATCAGGCAGCCACTGACCTGCCTTCTGTCACTGTAGGTTAGTTTTGCCTGTTCTAGAAATTCATATAAATTGAATCATACAGTATGACTCCTTTTGTGTCTAGCTATTTTTGCTTCTCATGTTTTTCTAATTTATCTGTGTTGTGCATGTATTAGTTGCTTATTACTTTTAGTTGCTGGAATAGCATTCCATTGTCTGAATATATCTAGGTGACTTTTTACATCTTATTATTTTCATGCCTATTTTTCTTACAGACTTATTTTTTTCTATACCTTCTGGTGTTATATATCATTCCAGGTATTTTAACTGATCAGTTTTACTGAGATAAAAATTCATTGACTTACACTTAGGAATTTGTTTTGTTTCTATTTTTCTTTGCTTTTTTGGATTTTTAAAATTGAAAATATTTTTTATCATTATAAAAATAATATATATTTACTGTAAACATTTAAGAGGGTAACATAGTTACCCACTATCCCTGCTACCCAGAGATAAACACCTTTAGCATTGTATATAACCTTTCAGACTATATTTTTATGATTATATATGTGAGTATGTATACAAATTTATGTGTATCTGTATAATGGCCTTATACATTTCTGTAACTTCCTATATCTGTAACTCTGGATTCACATTAGCTTCTTAATTACATAGTATTTCATTGTAAAAATATGATTGTACCCCATTGATAGACCTTTTTCCCCCAGTTATTTATCATAATCAGCACTGCTTTAACATCCTCTCATGTACATCTTAGTGCACTATGTCTAGTTATTATTTTAGAATAAGTTCCTAGAACTAGAACTGGATATATTAATCAGAATTCTCCAGAAAAACAGAACCAATAGGATATGTGTGTATATGAGAAAGAGATCTGGCTCACGCCTGTAATCCCAGCACTTTGGGAGGCTGAGGCAGGCGGATCGATTCAGCTTAGGAGTTCGAGACCAGCCTGGCCAACATAGCAAAACCCCATCTCTACAGAAAAATACAAAAATTAGCCAGGAATGGTGGTGCGGGCCTGTAGTTCCAGCTACTTGGGAGGCTGAGGTGGGACGATCACTTGAGTCCAGGAGTTGGAGGTTGCAGTGAGCCAAGATGACGCCACTGCACTCCAGCCTGGGTGACACAGCCAGACCCTGTCTCAATATATAAATAAAAAATAAAATGCTCATCCAAAAACATCCTCGCAGAAACATCCAAAATAATGTTCGACGAGATATCTGGGCACTGTGTCCCAGCCAAACTGAGACATAAAACCCACCATCCCACATCATGCATTGATGATTAGGCTTAATTTTGAAATCGATGTTTTCTACCTGAATTTACCTAAATATAAATAGTATCAATAAAGATTATTGTTGGTATAGCCTAAGGAAATAAATTTTGTCAACAGAAGTATAATTTGTGAGTAAATAATTTGATAAAATGTTTCTCAAAACTGCAGATGTACCTTTATCTGCTGACCCTGAGGGAAAAGAAGATGGGGAAGGGCCACCGGGCACATCACAAGCATCCCCCGAAGAGTTCACAGACGCAAAACATGAGTCACTGTTCAGTCTGGAAACCAATTTTCTGGAAGAGGAAAGTGGAGACAACTCGTCTTTGAAAGCATCTCAAGGTCATAGCGCAGTGTGTGTTACTTGAGTTCACCAGGTGCTTAGTATGGAATTTGTGTACTAATACACATTGAATCTATTATTGGAACAAACAGCAATAAAACAGTTTGGTGGCTATATCTAGAGCTGGGAAAAATACTTCTAAAAGGTATTTTGTGTTTTTCAAGGGTTACTCAGTGTTTAGGGGTTGGAGGGGATGTTTAGGAGAACAAACAACTTAAGAATGATGGTAGGGAAGGTCAGCTTCCCAGGCCTCACATTTTCATTATTGGGGTCAGGGGAAGATTTCTGATTTTCTCCCCAAGCAGGGAAAGAGAAAGAAAAAGAGGAAAAATACTTCCTCTACCCCTCACTTGCTGTTCTGTTTTGGAGCAGTAATTTTTCAGATTTGCAAGACCCAGGGGTGGCTAATCTGAGTGGTCTTTATTACAGGGAGACCCTCAAAAGCCAAAAAGCCCTACCCTGTGTCTCCTGCCTCTCACAGACTCTTGACCACTCCTGTGACCAAATGGCAGTCATGTGGACAAGACGTGCCTATGTCAGGGTTTGATGGGTTCCTGCTGTCTCAAGTCCAGTTTCTCAGCCAGTGTCTAGGTGGGCAAGTCAGGTTGGTCTTGTTCTGTATCCTGATTGCCTTCGTTGATCTCATTGCCATTCTTCAACCCAGCTTTACCTTTAATGAAACAGAAATTTTAATCCTTATTTGACTCATTTAGTTCTGTTGGTTATTTTGCAGAAGTGACAGGTAGAATTTGGAGATTTTAATACAAACTCCCTTCTGAACGATTAAAACTTAGAAACTTTGGAGGAAACATTAGGAAGCTTGACTGTCCCATAATTTCTGTGGTTGTTTTGCCCGTACAGATATATTAGCATCTAGAATTCTTATGTCCTGTTGTTCACTCTTAGATATTTAATACAAGATGCTTTTCGTTTGAAATTTTACTGTTTGGATGCTTGAATGGGTCATTTAACTTTGTTCTGTTTCTTGTGAGTGGGACTGGGAGAGAAGGTTGGGTGGCTAGCTCAGAATACTAAAGATTACTTGGAGTGCAGATGCTATCATGTGGATCATTTGTTCAATTCTGTGGAGTATTGATCATTTCTATGTGTCTCAATGCAAGATCAATCAGACATGGAACCTGTTCTTAGAGACCTTGCAGTCTGCTAGATAAGACATGTATATATACATATATATGTGTGTGTGTGTGTGTGTTGGAATGGGTGGGCTGGGCAGGGCAGGAGACTAGAGAAAGTGATGACTCTGTAGGGAACAAAGGGAGCCAATGTTGTGCCTAACACAGTAAGCCTGGGAAGTATTTATTGTGATTCAGTGGTAACATTAAATTGATAACGTTTAGATATTATCCAAATCCAGCCTCAGTGAAGGAGAGGCTGGAATTTTTGGTTGAAAGAAGGAAATGCACAGAGGCAGAAGAATTTGAGGGCCATATAGTCCAGAAATGACACTGGAGATGCAGGTTGGAGGTATATCCTAAAGTGCTCTGAATTTTGGACTGAGAAGTTTCTTCAAAGGTTTTCAAGCTGGGAAGTAATATAATTAGAGAAATGTTTTAGGAAGATGAACCTTTCAGAAATTTTTAAGCTCTGGACTTGGCTAGAGGATGGGGAAAGGCAATGGAGAAAAGGATGAGTTAACACAATGAAGGTCAACATGTCTTTCACAGGGGAAGACCAGAAAACCCCTCTATAGTTGCATAGTGTGCTGACATTTTTTATTTCTGAATTAGATCCATTTCTTCAACATGTGAACAAAGAACTGAAAGAAAAAGAAATTCAGGCTGTTGCCACAAATCCCAAAACCACCCACGAGCTTAAAGTAAGTGTTGCTTGGTCATCCTGGTCAGAAATAGAGAAAACTCTAAATAAAACAGTGGTCTTGGGTTTTAGTAGCCTCCCAGAGTGTATGATATACACCTGTGGTAGATGACTTGCTAGGGAAGCAGGGCATAGGAAGGCTAGAAGAGCCTAGTGGGGCACAGATGTAGCCAGAAAAAGCACCAAGAAGCTGGAGTGTGGGTGCCAGATAATATAATGATGGGTAAGAGTGGATTTGGAGACCAACATCTTCAAGGAGCTGTTGCATTTTGACCAAAGGCAAGTTAATGTGCTTTTTTGCTATTCACTATTCTAGTCTGCTGGAGGGGGATAATAATACCTATTTCAAAATAGAATAGTTTACTAATACATAGTGTTCAGCAAAATGGTGTTCATTAAAATAGTAGGTACTACTATTGTTCATTTGTTTGAAATTATTGGAGGTAGGTCCACAAATAAATTACCCAGACATTGGGCAGTTTTTACTTCTTTGTTCCCACCACTGATACCATTCATCAGAGTTGGTCATCCTTTTTTAATTGAAATTTTTATTGAGGAAATAATTATAGATATACATGCCATTGTAAGAAATCATACAAAGACATCTTGTACCCTTGGCCCAATTTTCCTCAATGGTGAAATCTTGTAGAACTGTAGTATAATGTCACAGCCAGGAAACTGACATTGATACAATCTACCAGTCTTACTCAGATCTGGTTTTACTCCTGTTCAACTGCGTATGCCTGTGCCTGTATTTAGTTATATACAATTGTATCATGCGTGGGTTCCTGTATCTACCCCTGCCATCAAGATGTAGAACATTTCCCGCAAAATATGGATCCTTGCTGCCCTTTTATAACCATATCTACTTCCCTCTGCGCCCCACCCCACCCCCATTTCTAAGCCCTGATAACCGCTAATCTGGTCTCCATTTCTATAATTTTGTCATTTAAAAAATGTTAAATGACTCATACAGCATGTAACCTTTTGAGATTGTTTTTTTTTCACTCAGCATAATTCCCTGGAGATTCATCCAAGTTATTTCAGCTGTCAGTAATTTATTTCTTTTTATTGCTGAGATTGTCCTATTTTTAGATCAGCAATTTAGCTATAATGAAAAAATTCTTAAACTCGTATCCCACAAAATACTATTCCTTAGGATTTAAACAAAATGGACAGATTTCTTGTCATAGAACTTGTCAACACCTTTAGTATCTAATGTACATTGTGAATCTCCCTCAGAGGAATTAAGTTTTGTGATGTTTATCAAGGGTATTTGACTATGGAACCCCTTTGTTTCTAGAATGAATGTTGACTCTTCCCAGAATATATTCCACAGAACAGTGTGGGACAACTGATAGGGTGAAGAGCTCAGATTTGAAGTCAGAAACCTTGAGGTCTAGCCCTCAGCTCCTTTTCTTCTGTGTAAACGTTGTCTGTATCATACAACCTCTTTATAAACCTCAGCGTTTCCTAAACTATAACGTGAGTATCATGGTAACTACCTTGCAGGGCTGTTGTGAGGATTAAATGAGATGATCTATAAATAATGAAAAAATTTGCTAAATATATTATTATGTGAATGTAATTTACTGTTATTCATTTTTAATTTAGCCCTTGATCTGTTTCTCCCCTAGTGGCCTATCCTGGGCCAGCTTGTCTTTTCCTCTAAGTTTCAGAAGTTGGAAACATTTAAACCCCCAAAGGATATTGACTTAAAGTCACTTCATCTCCAGAAGCCTCTGGAATCCACCTGGACTAAGACCAACAGCCAGTTCCTATCTGGTCCCCAAAAATCAAGCAGCCCATTCACCCCCCTCCAGAAAGAACTCTTCTTAATTATGAATTCTTACCGGGACCTGTTCTACCCAGAAAGCACTGCCCTGAAGAACGGGGAAGAGATCCGCCATGTGTATTGCCTGCATGTGATAAATCACGTCCTCAAAGCCAATGCCCAGGTGCTTGGCAACAATAGCAGACGCCGAAGCCAGAAGTTTGGAGTGGGTGATGATGATGACTTCAGAGACCAAGGGTTAACAAGGCCTAAGGTGAGTGCAGCAGGAAGGCTTTGCTCTCGAGAAGGAGGCTGCAAGGCACTGCCATAGAGGTGCCTGACACTTAGCAGGAACTTGGGTGTTTTAATAATTGGCATCATGAATGAGCCCAAATGTGAGCATAGTAAGTAGGCCAGGTAGTGTCAGAGCATCACTGCAGCAGTTTAGTGGGCTGTTTCTGACAATGGATGTAGCTGGAAACTTGTGAGAAGGAGGCACTTCATGACACTTTCCTTAAAGATAAACCCAGAGTATAGAAATAAAACTCCATTATAAATCTCTTCTTTGTGGTTGTCAGAGCTGGATGAGACCTTAATGAGCCTTTTATCCAATCCCTCCGTATTACAGGTATGGACAGCCCCAAATTTGTAGAAGTTTGTAGAGGGCCTTGCTAAAGAGAACCAGGGAAAGAGTAGCAGAGATGAGGCAAGAACCATGGATTCTCTTCATTAAGCCACATACATATGTCAACCTTTGGAAACAAAAATTTATATTTGCTACTGTAAAGTTTTTGCTGCTTAAAGTGATGAGTTTATATTCATAAGTCTAAGCTCTAGTGGATTTGAGGCCTTAACAGGAAATGGCTTTCAATTATGTCTACATTATTCATGATGTTATAGAACCAGGACTTGTCCCCCTGCCCTGAACTGCATCTCTCTGTATTGAAGAGCCTCATCTTTTTATAATTTTCTCAGTGAGTTTAATAGAATCCTAGAATTTTGATACTAATGTGGCTTTTAGAAATTTTTTAGTCAAACTCCCTTGTTTAATAGCAGGGGAAACCAAAGCCCTGATGCTTACTTAGTGTCACCGCTGGAACAATAAGCCGGTCCTCTCAAATCCTGGTCCACCATTTCTGTACTGTATCAAGCTGAGTCCACTGCACTCCTTGGGGCTTGAACATCAGGGTTATAAGGTTATTTGTTTCCTTTTAGAATTACATAGAAGAATAAGAGGCAGATTATCTATGAAGCATATTATAATTTGGTGAATTATGTGGTTTAACTGGGGTTATGTCCATTATGTTGTTTACAATAGGAAATTAGAAATTAATCATTTATTAAGCATCTTCGGTTTTTATTCTCAACAGTAACTTTAAATATTTTTGAATATGCTTAGAAAGCTGAGTCCTGTTTTTCCCATTAATTGTGGTCATTTTTTTTTTTTAGAAATGCTTTATTGTCATTTCTGAAAGACTGTACTAGAGAATGCACTGAAAATGTAATGATGTGTTAATCCTTTTTTGTACCTGCTTTATTTCTTCTCTACTTGTTCCATTTATTTATTCGGCATGTATTTATTCACTGTGTCTTAAGGATAAAAATATTGCACTAAATGCTGTGGGAGACACAGAAATGGAGTAACACTTCTTTCCCTCAAAGAGCTCATGTGTTTATGTCCTTGAGTTTTTACTAGTGGACATATCTGTTAGAGGTATTGGCTTATTGTAAAAGGTATTTCCAAATTCTGCTTGAGAAATGTCTCAAGCAGAGACACATGGATTCACGGGTCTAAAGTCCGCAGGTCATGGTGCTGGGGTTATGAAACGTGCTCAGTTTCTGGTGTTAAGCCAGGCCCTGTGCAAAGGGGGTAACATAAGTATGTTTCCTGGCTAGGAGCCACTGCTCTACATGGAGCTTTTTAGCTCCACTTCCTCAGCAGGTTCACCTCAAGATCTGGTTCCTTCCTCTTGCCCCCACTAAGGCTGCTGTTGCTGTCTGCACAGGTACTGATAGTGGTGCCATTCCGGGAAGCTGCTTTGCGGGTGGTGCAGCTCTTCATCAGCCTCCTCGAGGGTGACAGCAAGAAGAAAATCATTGTGAGCAACAAAAAGAGGTTTCAGGGAGAATATGGATCAGATCCCGAGGAGAGACCACCCAACTTGAAGAGGCCTGAGGATTATGAAGCCGTGTTTGTGGGCAATATTGATGACCACTTCAGGATTGGTAATTCTTCCTTATCTACTTTGAGACCTAAAGTGTGAAGGTCTGCATAGCTGGAGACCAGAAGCTGGAATTAGACATTTTCCCAGTGGATCACTCACTGCGCCTCTTAACAGAACCAGTGTGCCTTTGAGACATGTTGTTTGCCTTGGGAGAGTCTTTTCTTGGCTAATGGGGTGGCTATTAGGCCAGTGGAGTGGGGAGTCTCTGAGGCCACATATGAAAGGCACATGTACATTAATAACAGAAATTTATAACAAGTGTATAACAGAAGTGTGTAAGCACACCCATAGCTGGTAGCAGATAGATGCTACAAGGGGTGCTGTAGGATGTTGGAAGTGATGGGGCTGATGGGGTCATTCTGGGGAGGCTGAATAAACTGACTGTCTCTACATAAAGGTGGACTTTCTCCTGTCTGCTACATAATACCTACCCTGAATAATCTCCACACATGACTTCCACCCACATTTTCACGTTTTTGCTTGTCTCTCATTCAGCTCCCATTGACTTTGGTTGGTTATACCTTTCTAGAGTACAGTTCTTGAGAAAATGTTCATTAGTCGCATATGCTCATTCACAAATACTTATTGAGTATTTACAGTGTGCCAGACACTGTTGAGAATATACAAATAAATATAGAAATAAAAGTTATAGTTCCCATTGCTAAGGAAATCCAGCCTACGACAGGGAGCAGGCAGTGCAGGATACATGTGCAGTGGTTGTTCTCGGAGCATTTAAAACAAACCCCTTACCCAAAATGGGGGCAGGGTGGTTAGGGAAGATGTCGTGATGGAGGTGTCATCTGTATTAGGTGGAAACCTATGCAGGATTTAGCCAGTTTCAAAGGGAGGTGACTGAGTGGAAGAAAACATTTCAGACAGGAAACTGCCTGTTGCAGAGGCCTCAGGGTGACTAAGCTTGGAATGACCTGTGATTCACACAGGCTTCGGTATGGTGGAATGTAAAGCATAGGAGATGAGAGCCCATGTTTTGTTTGGAACATATATGACTGTCCAGCAAGCAGTTAGTATATTGTTCTGGAGCTCAGGAAAAAGATAAGGGCTGGAAATACACATTTGTGTGAAGGTGACGTTAAAGCCACGATCAGTGAGTCAGTTTACCCAAAGCTTTATGCAGCATGAGAGCAGAGCTGACAAGTGAATCCACCAGTTTGTGGAAGAAGAGTTCTTTGGATCTGGAAGGATAGACAAGGGCCAGGTCAGTGATAGAAGCAAAAGTGAGCGTTGAAGTCATGGAAACGATTAGCAAGGAAAAGAGCACTGCAAGGAGCTGTTTGTACATTCTGTGCCATTTGTACATTCCTCATAAGAAGCTCTCAAAAGTGTTCATCCTATTGGTGACTGAGGACTGTGAGGACCTTAGCAAGAGTCATTTCTCTGGAGTCCTGAGGAATCAGAGGCCAGATTGCAGTGGAGTGAGAAGTGAAGGAGAGATTTGAAAGTAGAGACAATTCTCTGGAACAGTTTGATAGTGATGGAAAGGAAGAGAAGGTAGAAGCTAGAAGGGACTATAGATGCAAGGGAAAGATTTCTCTTGTTCTTATGTTTTAATAATTAAAGCAGTTGAGCACAGTTACATGCTAAGAGGAACATAAGAGATGTGGAAGCAATAGAAGTGGTGGACTGCTTTGAGAGGGTGGAAGGTAATGGCTTGGTAGTGACTAATGAATTGGTGTGTACTTGGCTGTTTTGTGTAGGAGTGGCAATACTTCAGAGAAGCATCCGACTCTATGCCCCGTTTTACTCCTCGGATATCCTCATTGCTTCCCCGCTGGGCTTGAGGACCATCATTGGTGGAGAAGGAGAGAAGAAGAGAGATTTTGACTTTCTGTCTTCTATTGAGCTTCTCATCATTGATCAAGCTGACATTTACCTGATGCAGAACTGGGAGCATGTCCTGGTAATGCTGGCCATTCACATTCAGTGGAACAGTATTCATATTTAGAGGGATAAGACACCCAGTGGTTTAAGTCCTAAAGAATTATTTAAGTCCAGATTAGAACTCTGTTTGGAAGCAAGGACACATTCCACATTTTCTAATTTGAAAAAGTCTTTTGTCCCTTTTTCTCCCCACAGATTGTCCATAATTAAACTATCTAGAGATTATAATTCCTGTCAGTTATTTTCAAATCTCCAGAAAAGATTTCTTTCCTTTAAAATTTCTTTCTGCTAACTTTAGGGTGGGTGGATGGGTGGATGGGATGGGTTGATGGATGGATGAGTCCTCATAGGGAACATCTTTACCTAACATAATCCCACATGTGGTTTTTTCTTATGCTCTTTTGTTTGGCCTTTAGTGAAGATGGGAAACCCCGCTCAAGACTTTTGAAGGTGGGATTTTGTTTTGTAGAGAAATATAGGATGTCTTTATTTCCCGATGTAATTTGTACTGTAATTTTTTTCTCCTTCTCCATACACTCTGCAGTGTTAATCAGTTTTAGGATTGAAAAATTGCTTTGGAACAATCCTTATTGAGGAACTATAGGTTTATTTTTCTAAGGCATATGGGAACTCACCCCTTCTACAACCCCATGTCTTGAAGCTTGCAGGAAGTTTGGGACAAATGAAGGGTAGGACTTACTTCTAAAGTAGGAAATACATTTATTGTACTCATTACCCTTCAATATATATTACAAGGTGAAAATATAATTAAAATGGAAAAGGCATTTTGGCATAGTTGAGTTATATTCTTCGATTTGAGGAGAAGGCAGGTATGGTGAAACTGCGACTATTCCCAATGTTTTGAGAACCAGGTCATTGAGGGACAGCAACTCTGTTTTCCATGTCATTTCCCTTCTTGTCCAAGCCTGGGACTTAGGGACCCATAGAGAGACCAGTGTGGCATTTCAGAGGTTCATTTTAAAGGAATATTCCTGTGGCTACCATTTTGATCCTTTGTTAAAATTCCAGGAGGTGGCCAGTTTTAGCTTATCTCCTCATTGGGCATGTTTGGCTGGCCATGGGCAAGTCACTCACCCATGTGAGCCTCAGTTTTCTTGTTATAATTTAGGAGATGATAGTACATGCTCCATGGGCTTAACTGAGTTGATAGACTTGGAAAATATTTAGCAATGTCCAACATGTAAATGCTCAATCAACACTAATGGTATTATTATTTCCACTCAAAGCATTTGATGAATCACATGAACCTGCTACCCCTGGACTCACATGGGGTAGACTTTTCTCGAGTGCGGATGTGGAGCCTCAATAATTGGTCCAAGTACTATCGCCAGACACTGCTATTTGGGGCCCTTCAGGATGCCCAGATCAACTCAGTGTTCAACAAGTACTGTGTCAACATGCAAGGCCAGGTGGGTTCTTATCTTGTTTCCTCAGTGTCTTCATGAGCACTGTTTATTGTTTGGGTCCTAAAGTAGAAGGAGGGGATAGCATCTGGTCAAGAAGGGGATGGCTGTCTACCTAACACTCTCGTTGACTACTGGCAGGTGGCTGTGAGGAATGTCCCAATGACAGGCTCTATCAGTCATGTCCTGGTGCAGCTCCCACATGTCTTCCAGAGGATGGAAGCTGAAAACCTAGCTTCAGTGATTGATGCCAGGTAACCCACTGCTCCCAGCAGGCCCCTGGGGACAACAGAGAGAGATTTCACTTGGGTGTACAAACCTAGAATTGGATTCCATTTTGCTTTTATTGATTACTGTTTACCAAATCAGATGAGATAATTTAATTTAATTATGTCATTTGTGAGAGGAGGAAACTGAAGCCCAGAGAGAAATAGTGACTTGGCCTAGGTCTCCTGACTAGTAGTGGGGTTATTGCTGTAAATCAGGACTCTTACCTCCTAGAATAATTCTCTGGGATATAATGGTATTACATCTGTTTTTTACGATGAATAGTGTTGACACTTACTTTTTTAGTGTGCTTATCAAGTTTTATCCTTACATAATCTGTTTGAGAGGAGGGAAATCCTATTGGCCTCTGGGGAGGTAATCTTTTAACACGAGATTGTGATTTGCCCAGGGTCACACAGTTAAGAGACACTATAAGCTTCACTCTAGACGTTAACTTTGCCCTTTGCCGTTCCAAATCAGGTTTAACTTTTTTGTGAACAAGATTCTGCCGCAGTATCGTGATGCAGTCATGTCTCACACGCTCATCTATATCCCCTCCTACTTTGACTTCGTGCGTCTTCGAAATTACTTCAAGAAGGAGGAACTGAATTTTACCCACATCTGCGAGTACACGCAGAAGTCCGGTGTCTCCAGGGCCAGACACTTCTTCCTTCAAGGAGAGAAACAGTTTCTGCTTTTCACAGAGCGCTTCCATTTCTACAAAAGGTAAAGTGGTGCCAGGTTTCAAGCCTCCTCTCTGCAGGGGACGTGCAGGACAAATCATGGCCTGCTCTGAATGCATGGCAGGCTTCGTGGTGTTGTGAGATCATCCCTCACTCTCCCGCTCTTACAAAGTAGCGAGAGTTTTTGGCCTGGACAGACTCTTCTTAGTTGGTTAGTTGGTTTTTTCCCAAAATGGGCATTGCTGAAGAAGGACGTAGAAACCAAAGCATACCCTGTGTATAACCCTGGAGTGAAGCTGTGGTTGTACACTGCAGGAAGGACGTTACAGGACAGCTCAGATGAATACAAGGAAGGGGAGGGACCTTTCCTGTGTTCACTTGAGTTTTCCCTGTCTAGACTTTTTCCCTCTGTCTTCCCCCAATGCACAGACAAGCATTGAGAGCTGTGTTTCCTGGGGAGATGGAGGCTGAGTACAGTGTCAGTTTCCAGACACTTGCAGTGCTCCTGAGGTATGCACAGATACTCCCTACCAAGGAGAACTAGGACCATGAGCTCCTTGACATTTACAGGAGGTGAAAGGGTAAGGGCTTCAAGTTGAATGTTGAAGGGTTTCAGTGTTTGCTTAGCTTTCCTACTAGGTGACTTTGACAAAATAAGTTGATTGGCCTTTTTGTTATTTTTTTAAAAACTCAGGCCAGGTGCGGTGGCTTATGCCTATAATCCCAGCACTTTGAGGGGCCAAGGCAGGCGGATCACCTGTGGTCAGGAGTTCAAGACCATCCTGGCTAACGTGGTGAAACCCCGTTTCTACTAAAAATACAAAAAATTAGCTGAGCGTGGTGGCGTGTGCCTGTAATCCCAGCTACTTGGGAGGCTGAGGCAGGAGAATCGCTTGAACCTGGGAGACAGAGGTTGCAGTTAGCTGAGATGATGCCATTGCACTCCTGCTTGGGCAACAAGAGCGAAACTCCATCTCAAAAAAAAAGAAAAAAAAAACCCTCTAATTAGGATAGTGGTGGCCCTTTTGGCCCTACAGCTCCTGTATTTTATTGTTTTGCTGAGTCTCTCTCTGTTGATAAATAGAAAAAGCTTTTTTATTTTATTTTTAGATTTTTATTTTCAATTTTAATAGGTACATAGTATGGAAGAGGCTTCTTAACCTTTGCCTGCAGAGATATGTAAATTATATTCTGTTACCTCATCCTGATTTCACAGTAATGTCCAGTGGATTTAATTTCTGACTTTACTGTTTTATTAACTCACGATGGGTGCATTTTCTCAGAGAATCCCAAACAGATATGCCAGAAATCTCCCAAGCTTTGGAGCACATTAGATGATGTACTTTGGCATCGCATTACCTTTTAATTTATGCTAAAACAATTAGGATGGTGCTCCCCAAATAATGTTCTTGTTACCAGGATGGGGAGGGAGGAGTCCCAGCAGCTTGCCTAGGCATAGCAAAGCTGGCATGGCATGACCTCTTAGAGAGTTGAGGATTGATTAAATTTGTGTTTCCCAGGCTCCATTCTTGGCTACCCAGAGAAGGCTGCTTGGCCAAAGAGTGTTAATGAATGCTTGCTTGTTGGCCTCATTATTTGCTCTGTTCCAGTAAGTTGTCGTTTCCATTCATGTTGGAAAGTGTCTGGGGGAGTTGCACTCATCAGGTCTTAAAAGCTCTTAGCTTTCTATCGTCTTGACAAATGAAAGCAAGCCCTTTAAGTGAAGTGGATGGATTGGAAAACTTCCCAGTGTGATTGTCTATAGCAACTGTGAATTAAGCTGGGATGAGGACTGCTCTTAAATATCTCAGCAGCTTTTCAAGGACAGGGCTTGGCGCCCCTTGTAAGCAGGACAGTCCCCTGTATTATACTGTCTGTTTATTTACCAAGCTGTGTTACCCTCAAAGTCACGATAAGGACAAATCTCAGCATATGCCATTTGCTTTATGCCCTGGGCCAGGTTAATTGGTGTTTCTTTTGCAGAAGATGAATGGAAATAATGTGCTTTAGAGTTCTGCAACAGCTAATTATCTCAAAGTTTCCAACCATAGAATTTTTTGCTTGAGAGATCACCAAGGTGATGATGGGTGTTTTCGTGTACAGTGTCTCTGTGATTTGTTTTTTTTTAATTTGACCTTGGGAAAAGTACGCTTTTTGGAGGGGGGCTGGGTTGTGCGTTTGTTTGTTGTTTGTTTTTTTTAGACAGTCTCACTCTGTTGTTCAGGCTGGAGCGCAGTGGCGTGATCTTGGCTCACTGCAGCCTCTGCCTCCTGGGTTCAAGCAATTCTCGTGACTCAGCCTCCCGAGTAGCTGGGATTACAGAAGTGCATCACCACGCCTGGCTGATTTTTGTATTTTTAGTAGACAAGGTTTCGCTATGTTGGCCAGGCTGGTCTTGAACTCCTGGCTTCATGTGATCTGTCCACCTCAGCCTCCCGAAGTGTTGGGGTTATAGGCATGAGCCACTGTGCCCGGCCAGAAAATGTACATGTATTTCATATTGTAGTATCTGACTCTGTTTTTATATTCTCTATGACAGCTGGCAGTGTTAGGAAGATTCGAATTCATTTTTGAGTTAGCAAAAATTTTTTAACCTGAAGATTTGTTTTATTTGGGGAAGATTAAACTAGCAGAATCTTAGAATTAGATGAACATTTAGTCGTGATAGCCCTCCCAACGATGGGTCACAGCTCTTTTCCAGTGTGTTATCAGTGGGTTTCCATGGTAGGGAGTATCTCAACCAGGAGGCAAGTCAGAAACTGGAGGTGGGATTTGTGGAGTTTGGAAAGGCTGCTGGGAGTTTCTGAGTACTCCCTTCCCCTACATGAGAATCCCTGTTCTAGAAGTAGTAGACTTGGTCTTTATGGACCGTAGGAAGGAGCCAGCCTTTCAAGTTCGTTGTGGTTGCCTCATTTGTCTTTAACAGTGGCTGGTGAAATAGACATCTGGAAGGTCCTGTCAGGGTGATTAGGCTGTGTTTGTAGGAGTCACTGAAGACAAAGCATATGTAAGGGAGGAGGAAGGCAGGGGAAGGGGTGCTCAGGCTATGGAGACTTGGCACTAACTGCCCCTTGGAAAAGGCCCTGGCCATGTTCTCTGTTGCCAGGAGATACTTAGTCTCTATTGTGGTTGCATTGGGACTAAGACAGATTTTCGTGTGTGTGTGTGTGTGTGTGTGTGTGTGTGTGTGTGTGTGTTTAATATAAATCTTAACGGTTTTATTGTTTTGCTTTTCCTGATTGTGAGGGTATTACACAGTTATTGTAGAGAACTTGGAAATTTTAGGTTAAAAATCTCACTGCCGTGATATAAATACTCTTTTTGGTATTTTTTTCCATCTTTTTTATATGAAAAATGTGTGCGTGCATGTATGCTCCTGCACGCATGCACACACAGGTGTTTTTTTTTTTAAAAAAAATACTTAAATGGGGATCTTTTTTTCTTTTAGGGATTTTTTTCCTTTGTCTGAGATGTTTTATGTTCTCACTGAAAAAAATTCAAAGATGTTAACATTTTGGCCTGTATATTTGTATATCGTGGATTTTTTGTGTATATTTTTAAGTTACTATATATAGCTCTACCACATCCTCTCTTCCCCCAGGTATTTGTTTGAAAAGATTTCATTGTGAAAGAAAATTGTTAAGAGACTAACAATAAACATCTGTTTATTTATAAACCCTTTTACCCCAGATTCCACCAGCTGTTCTCATTTTATCACATTTGCACATACCCATCTTCTCTCTATCCCCACTCACATCTTTTATTTTTTCTTCCTGAACCACTTGAAAGTAAAGTAGCATGAATCTTCAGTGACACTTTACCCTTAAATATTTTAGCATGTAGCTCCTAAAAACATTCTTTTATCTAACCATAGCACCACTATCATACTACCTGATGTTACTACAACAATATCATCCGATATCTAGTCTATATTCAGATTTTCCTAGTTGTCACTGAAATGACCATTATAGCCCTTTCCCTTCCGGCCAAAAAGGATTCATTAAGGATCATACATAGCATTTGGTTAACTTATTGCTTTTGTTTCTTTAATCTAGTTTAGTTCTCAATTGGGGGACAATTTTGCTCCCTCAGGGACATTTGGCAATATCTGGAGACATTTTTGGTTATCACAACTGGAGGATTATTCTGGTGGTTCTAGTGGGTTGAGACCAGTGATGCTGCTAAACACCTTCGTTCACAGGACAGCCCCCAACAACAAAGAATTAACTGTCTCAGAATGTCAGCAAGTGTTAACACTGAGGAACCCTCATCCAGAATAACTCTCTTGCCTTTTTACTTTTTGATCACATTGACATCTTTTTGAAGAGTCCAATCTGGTTTCCTGTAGTATGTCTCATAGTCTAGATTTACCTAATTGTTCCCTTATTATTTAGATCAGTGGTTCCCAAACTTTGCTGTACGTTAGAATAGAAGCTTTTAAAAATCCAAATGCCCAGGTCGCATCCCAGTACCAATTAAATTGCAGTATCTGGGATGGGGACAAAACCTAAGTATTAATAAAACAAAACAAAACAAAACAAAAAACCAGCCAGATGATTTCAATGTGCAGCAGTTTGGGGACGACTGATTTAGAATAAATATCTTTTGATAAGAATCCTACTTAGGGAATATTACTTACTTTCTACCTCTTCTCATCAGGAGGCACGTAATGTCACTTTGTCTCATTCTTGGTGATGTCAAATCACTAAAATCACTCAGTCAGTGTGCGTATGTAATTAAAAAGTAATGTGTGAGGTAAACATCACATTGTATTTAATGGTTACGTAGTATTACATTGGTTAGTTAAGCTAGCTTCCTTTTAGTGGCATATAGTGTTTTTTTTTTCTGTTTTCTGCTGTTGTATATAGTAATATGCAAAACATCCATATGCATATATTTTGTTGAACTACTTACCTAGTTATTTTCTTGGGATAGATTTTTAAAGGAAAACTTGTTAGCACAGAGGCTGTACACAGTTAAAAATGTGTCATGCATTGCCACTTATTTGCTCCTTCACATCTTTTCCATATCTTCTCCCGAATTCATAGACAAAGTAATTTATGCTCCATTGACCTATTTCTCCGAAACCCCATAGACTGAATTATTGCTACTGATGCGATAGTCAAAATGATACCTCATTGTTTAGATGTCTTTTTCTTGCTTTTTTATGTCTTCTGTAACTTTCAATGGAAGGTAGAGGCTGAGGTAAATAATGCTTATGTCTGGCCACACCCCTTCTGTAGGCCACTGGTGTGGGTGCTGTCAGTCTAGTCAGGATTTGATTTTTATAGATACCTTCCCAACACCACAGACTTCAAATACCTCCAGCAAACAGTGGGCTTGGTATAGGCTCTCAGGTGCTGGCGGGTTTTTCTCAGTGTCCTGATCGCTCAGCTGTCACTGAGGCCTGGACACTGAGTCCAGAGGAGGGTCTCACTCCACACTCGGACCCCTCCTCACAGGAGGCCTCTTGCTTGTTTCTCCTTGCAAGGCATCAAGTCAGGAGGAGGGGGTTCTCCTGGTCGAGCTCAATTTTTGGCCACCCTTTTTATTCCACGCTTTGGGGGTGAGGCTTTCTTAGGGTTCCTGCCCCGCCACCTCCGTGGCAGCCAGACTCTACCTTTTATCTGTGAGAGATCTTTGTGGTGAAGTGTATACAGCTTCTTCCCCAGTGGTGGCAGAACTCTGTTTGTATCAGTGCAGGAACTTGGGCTGAACAGGTTTCTTACCCCTTCCCCTAGAGCAGAATGCTTTTTACTGGGTGCAAGTCTTGTGTAGGGGAAAAATGGAAGGGTAGGGGTTTACTGCCCTTCCATTAAGGGCAGACAACTTTTGCTTCTCCTCAGCCGCCTCCCGCCGTGAAGTGGCTTGCCTTTCCCTGCTTGCAACTAGGGGTAGCGAACAGGGTGGTTCCTTTCCTCTTTCCCATCTGCTTCAGGTGTTTGCCATGGGTTTCACGGTAATGGGCCTGGGAAGTAGGTGGGCTTTCATGTCCCTACCACCAGTGGGATCTCCCTCGGGTCTTCTGCTTCCTCCAGGGCTCCCAGTGCAGGCCTCTGGAATGAGCTCTTGAGTGGATGTGAACTAAAGGAGCATCCAGGGATCCCTGGGGTTCTGAAGTCAGGCAAGCCTATTCTTGCCCTTTAAGAATTTGTTAAAAGCGTATCTATTTTCTTACTACCCACTTTTTTGGCAGAGGCCGTCTTTCTCCTGTGCTCCTCCTAAGGTGCAGTAGTTCCTGTATCCTGTTTTTCCTCAGAAGGGCTACTCTGTGGAGCTTAGCCCATGGTGGGCTGAAGCTGGCTCACACTGGCTCTTGAGACCTGGTTGCACATCTCTGTGTCAGCAGCGTGACATTGGTAGCTTGAAACTGACAAATCCTTCAAATTAGCACCCTCCCTTTCTCCCACTGAGGACCAGTTATTAAACATACACCAGCTCACCACCTAATTCAGGTTACCTGATTGCCTCATGATGGTAGCTCTCTGGGCTCAAGAAAAGGAACATTTTTGTATAATAGATTATCTGACTTTTTCTTATTAGTATAGGAGCAATATTCTCTTGAGTTTTATACATTCTAAGCAGAAGTAGAACTCAGTGTTGTTTTTATTTTGAGAACTAGTGAGGTAGAACAGTTTATTCAAGCTCGTTAGCCATTAGAATTCCTTCTTTACGGAAAGGATGTTGAAAAGTGAACCACATAATAGATCACAGTCATGGTTTGGGAAAGGAAGGTCTCCAGAGAGATCAGGATGAGCCATGAGGGAGAAAGACAAGGAAAACTTATCTTCTGTGAAAGAAATACAATCCCCAAAGGAGTCTAACGTCTTCAGTGTATGAGAGAAACTTAACAGGAAAAATGAGAGCTTGTCAACATATAAAATCTTTTGTTACGGAATCCCACAGGGAACGGTTGACCTCAGCCTGACTGAACCATACTGTGAGTCAGTCCCTTGGGTCTACACCACCCCCCACCACAGGGCAGCACTGTGCAGCCGGGAAAGAGGTGGCAATGCATACGCTGTTGAAACTAATTGCTTTCTCAGGATGCCTAGTGGGTCCTTGTGCAGGGTTTTGACATCTGCCATGGAGTTAACATGTCTCCAGAGTGGCAAGAAAAGACTTACAGGAGTGTATTTATAATTTGTACAGCTTATTTTATGTACTGGGTCTGACTGGTCTCCATTCTTTTTTGCCCGATTATAGTAAGGCTAATGTTCCATTTTAAGTGCCTGCTTTTTAAGTTTTCTGTGACAGATTTTTAAATCCTGATCTATTCTTTCCCATGATACCTCAGCCTACCCAGAGTAGGATCAAGAAATGTGTATTGATTTTATCATTATCTTAAGCCAAATATTAGGACTTTGAATAAAAGTCATAAAATGACTTTGTCATAAAAGTCAGTGCTGCCACCTCAGAATCACTTTTGTTCTGTTATTTGTGCCACTGTTTTTCTCCGTTAGCAGGAAGCAACAAGCATGAACTGTGCCTCTGTACAACTCCTAGGTAGTTTTTCTAGAACTTGTTTCTCAAGTTGACATAACTCTCTCTTTCCAATTCTAACAGGTATACAATAAAAGGCATCAGGAACCTGATTTTCTATGAACTGCCGACATATCCACACTTTTACAGTGAAATCTGTAATATGCTGAGAGCCACCAACAGAGGAGAAGAGGCCACGTGGACCTGCACTGTTCTCTACTCCAAGTATGATGCCCAGAGGTTAGCTGCCGTGGTTGGTGTGGAGCGGGCAGCACAGATGCTACAATCCAAGAAGAATGTCCACCTCTTCATTACTGGAGAAAAATGAACTTTTGTTGGACAGGAAGTGGTATTTGGCATGATACATAATGTTTGATTCTATGCCACTTGGACCCAATTCTGATTACTTACAGAAGAAGGATTGATATAAAGGAAGTGCATGAGGCAATGTCAGTATTATCTGACATTTCTTTCTTTTCAGGTTATGTGTCCCTGAAAAGTTAAATGTAAACCAGATTTTGGTAAATCACATTTTTCAGAAGTGAAGAGGGGGCTAGAAGGACTCTGAGAAGTTGGTAGAAGAAAACTTCCACTTGTGAATATTTTTATGAGACATAAATTCTTTTATTACAATTTACCTCTAATTTATTACACTTAGTAAATTCTTCCAGATTTTTCTATTTGTTTGACACTTTCTTAAAGTAAGAATACACATCATTGCTTGTGAGAACTGGTTATGAGACACTGGAATACTTCCTGCTGCTACATGTCTTCTTAATTTTGGATGGCATGGGTTTTGTAAAACTTATTTTCCCCCAGCCAAACTTTTTTGAAACCTTAAATAATCTACCTTAATTCAGCCTAGAAGAGTACATTGATTCACTGATCTTTTTTTATGTTCATAATAGTAAATGTTTTAGTTATGTTCAAATATATGCTTAAAGTCACATTATTTAAAAAACATATCTGCTCTGTCTCAAGAAGTAATTTTGTTGAAACTCCATGTTTAATATTCATCTTCAACAGTAGGGTCTTCATAATAGCTGGTCATTTTTTGAGTCATAAACAGATGCAAATAAAAAGAAAATTACACTTTTAACAACATTTTTATTTTGAAACATTCTCAAACAGAAAAATTACAAGTACAGAACCTGAACCATTTGAGAGTAAGTTGCCAACCCAATAGGCCTATCACCTTTAAATACTTTAGTATATATTTCCTATAAACAATTAAGGGTATTGTTTGTGACTAGGAATGCCCCACCAATAAGGATCATGTGAACATTCCAAAATCCAAAAAAATTCGAAACACATCTGGTCCCAAGCGTTTCAGATAAGAGATATTCAACTCATCCTAGTATGGACTTGTAGTTTCTTCTTTTATTCATGAGTTACAGTTTGTTACATCATTATTTCTTTAGACGCGTAACTGGTCTCAAAAATGGCTGGTGGGAGCACCTTCAAGTTAGCCCCTGTGTACTTTTGACATGTCCCCCATCTACTTGGGCACCACTGTATTTTTTGACAATGAGACATCGCAGGTTTCTCTACTCCAGCCCTGCTTGCTTTTAGTAGGAAGTTAGTTTAAAAGGTTAGATTGGAGTGCTTACTGTTGTGGTGCCACTCATCCCAGGCTCAGTGGTCAGAACTTGGGAATTGTGTACACGTATGCACACACATGTGTACACATGTTATCTAAATTTGCTTCACATTAGTATCTAAATTTACTTTCGTATCCATATATTGAAAACCATGAAATCACACCAGTACCTCCAATTCTAGTCCAGCAACACAGGGTTGCTTCTCATTTTCTTTCCATATTGATAACTCCTTTCTCAGACAGTGGCTCCCATTATCCTCAACATAATAACCCGTGATTGGTACAGACTTTTTATCCTTGGGCACATTTAAAACTGCTTATCAAAAAAAAAAAGTAAAATCACTTTTGAAGTAGTATTTCTGCTAAACATTGAAATAGATATTTTTACTTCTGTCTTTTTCTCCAGCATGGTAAATAAAACCATTTATTCCATATTTAGATGGTTTTCTAAATTTCAGAAAATTTAGTTGGTAGATAAAAGCCAACCAAACCCATGCTACAAATAACTTTATATCTGTAGGCATGTCCTATGGCTATTGGCATAATTGTGCTGCTGTTTATCATAGATCCTGTATATTGTGAGAAAAGAAATGAGTTTATTTACCTCGTTCAGAAATGTGAGACAAAGGGACTGGGATTACCTGGATCTTTCTTTTTTTTTTTTAGATCAAGTCTCGTTCTGTTGCCCAGGCTGGAGTACAGTGGCATGATCTAGGCTTACTGCAATCTGTGCCTCCTGAGTTCAAGCAATTCTCATGCCTCAGCCTCCCGAGTAGCTGGGACTACAGGCACATGCCACCATGCCCAGCTAATTTTGTGTATTTTTAGTAGAGATGGGGTTTCGCCATGCTGGCCAGGCTAGTCTCAAACTCTTGACCTCAAGTGATCCGCCCGCCTCAGCCTCCCGAAGTGCTGGGGTTACAGGCCTGAGCCACCATGCCCGGCCGATTACCTGCATCTTTTTCTACTGCCATATTCTTTTGCCTGTGAATTGTAGTTCTCATGGTTTCCATTATCAGTATTCACAAGGCTCCCAAATCTCCAGCTTCTCTGGCTCTCCACTCACATATGAGCCTGGATTTCAAATCCATGATGTAGCCCCACAAATAACCATTTTATTAAGCACCCCTAGTGATTTTCCTGCTGGCGTAGAGCCAAACCCAGCCAACTGCTTCTTGCCTGCAGAGAGCACTGAGGATTTCAAGTGTGAACAAAGTAGTACTGCTTTGTTCCTGGCTCAGCACCTGGAAAGAAGGTAAGCCTCTGCAGTTGGCCCTGGCTCCTTAGTGCATTGCAAAGAGTGGAGACTCTGGAATGGTTTTATTAAAAGGATGCCTTAACTTCTGGTCTCTCTCACATAATAAGGGAGAGGAGAGGCTACTGAAATACAGATACATGAGCTGGAATTACACACTATCTGGATGTTAACAAGGCTTATTTGCAGGAAGCAAGTGCCTATATAGGGTCTGTGGAATATAGACAAAGGAGTGGTCCCAATCCTGGGAAGAGTGGCATTGAAAGGTAGGGAAAGGAACTTACCCAGAAAGTAACACTTTTAAATGTTTTTTCTTTCCCCATAGTTAAAACAACCAGCTTAGCACTTTTCTTTTTGAGAGAGAAAAAGCTTTGAATCCTGGATGCTTCTCACAGCTGGCTGCACCATGTGCAATGTTCAAAAAACAAGAACAAGCTAATCATAGAGAACCAGCAGCAGCTAAACAGCCCTCTGCTGGCTTCCAAAAGGCTTATAATTGAGTGCAGATGGTCCTGGCGGAGATGGGGAATGTGTCCCTGCTGACTCCTCATACCCCAGAGGACCAAGTGGGAGCTCATGAAGGCTCTCAGCCCTGATGGTGCCCTCGTGAGGGCCAGGAGCTAGGCTGCTGAAGGAGGAAAGGGAAAGGCAGGTGGGGCCAGACCCTGTTGGCCACCTTCTGCCCAGCCTTCCCAAGGCCACATGAGTAGATCTAGGGTCTCAAGATTACAGAAGGCCTGGGGTGAGGGAGCAAGAGTTGGAAGTTCTTTATAGTTGTCTGAAGAGCCTCATCGTCCAACTGCAGGTGGCTCTGAGGTGCCAGAAGCTTGATGGAAAAGGAATGTCAGTGGAATGCTCAGAGGTGGCTCTTTTCAGAGCATGGCCTCTGAGGAGGGTGGGGCCACCACAGCTAGCCCTCCCTCCCTCTAGCCATCCTCTCCTTCCAGTCCCTTTCCCATGTTTTCTCTCAAAGGAGCATGGTGGTGATCTTCATTACCAAATTTCTACTCCACACTTATTTTTAAAAGCTTTTCTGAAAGCCTGGCTACATAGAATTCTAAACAGATTTCAGTCAACTTTTAATTACAGAGTCAATGAATGGGGAGTAAATATACATATAATCCAAAATTGATGTAAGCATTGGAAGGTGAAAGAGGGAACACTTCTTTCCCTTTGGGCTTGGCCGTTTCCTCCCAAGCGAACCCCATGATGTTCAGCCGTCTTTCTCCTATACCGCATGCTCCCACCAGAACGGCAGCAAAACTGTATTTTGTGTCCTGTGTCTAAAGCTAAACACTTATTCCTGTCTACTCAAGTTTGCTTTGTGTCTGTTTCCCTTCTATGAGGACCTTCCCCTCCTCAGATGTGGGGAGGAGTTGCCTCCGCTTGCATTACATGTATTTCAGGGTAGGTCCTGGGCTCCCCTTACACCTCTGGTGATGTTGCTGTTATTCCTATGGTAGGTAAGGGGATGAGAAAGAACAGAGCTCCAGGCCTTTTTCAAGCAGACTGGTTTTCTCAATAGTTACAGCCCTGTGCTCAAAAGGAGTCAGGACAGAAATGTGACTGCCATAAGGAGCTGTTTGCTTTGCACAGAGAAATCGAATCTTTTTCCTGCTGGGCAGCTCAATGCAGATGTCCCCTCTCTGCTGGGAAAAACACCTGTCCTTGCTTGTTCTCCTGATGGCCCCTCACAGTCAGGTGTGGGATGGCACATTCCTAGGTGCTCCTGGCCGAGCTGTCATGGGCTTCAGTCTTGGGCCTCTGCGGCTGGCTGTGACCAGGTGGAAACTGTAGCCTCAGCTGACATAGAGAAGGAAAGGCAGTCCGCCGCTTGGCTGATTTGGGAATTGTGCTGAATTCCTGCCCATCTGTTCTCCCAGCTGAACCAAGGCCAAAGCTGTCTACCTTTTGCCAACCTAGGGAATGACACAGAGCACGGAGTGCCATCACTGAGACATCTGCCCCAGTGCCCTGCACCCCTCGTCCTCACTGACCTCTGCAGCCCCTCTCATCTGCCAGCTTGATTCCGCAGGGAGAGGCGCCCCTGGGCTCACAGCTGGTGTTTGTCCACAGATGTTCGTGGGTTTCTGTCTTTGTGTTCTCTCATTTTTCAAAGCTGGGTGTTGGGACCAACATCATCACTGACATTCTGTGGCTCTAAGCAAGTCCTCACGACCACTTCTCAGTTTTCTCATCTTTATAAAGCAGGGAGTAATCCCCACTCTCCTTACAGAGGGACCGCGCGAGGAGGGAAGAGACTGCTATTGTTTGCCCTATGTCCACCTGCTTCCCTAGTTCCAGAACGCTGGATTTTAATGAGATAACAAAGCACCTAGTAAAAACACTGCATCATTTTCCGTCCCCCATCCCCCACCCCTTGCAGTAAGATGTGGCCCATGAGACAGAAGCACTAACTACTGAGCAGGAATTCTAGGGGAGTTCTTTGAAACTCAGGAGCACCGCTTTTACCTTTTGCTCTTCTCTTTTTCCTGTCTGGAACGCAGAAGTGATGGCCAAAGCTCCTGAGGCTGTAAGCTCTGTACATAGGATAGTGGTGGAGAAAGAAGGAGCCTGGTTCTCCAAGGACGTTGTAGAGCTGCCATACCAGTCCTGCATGGTATTCCTGTGTGCCACTCTTATGTGAACACATAAACGCCTAATTTGTTTAAGCCACTCGGCCAGGCCTCTATTAGCCGTTCCTGACTGATACAGAAGACAAAAATGGCACCACAGACTCCTGAACTCCAAAGACACAGCCTATTCTTTTGTCTGTTCTCAGTAGGCACCAACATGGGGACTGTACTTCAGGGTTGATGCTGGCCATTTGGTGGCAGTCAGAAGTGGGCACTCAGGAGTCTCTGCTACCAGTTCTGATGTGTCCATTCCACACTGGATCCATAGAATGAGGGAACACAAGTGTCTTCTCATAGGATTTGTGGAAACAGTGATCGTTGCAGAAAAATACTTAGCAAGAGAACAGACTTCAACTCTCTGAAGGCTGATGACCACCTGTTTTTCATCTCTTCTAGTGTATGTCCAAGCTAAATTAGGTCAGATAGGAAATGAGTCAGAATCCCCAATTCAGTAGTAACTTACAGGTCTTGTGATCCAATCTGCCACGATCTGTTAATTACCTATAGGTCATCCCTGAGAGGTGGCCTCCAGCTTCTGCTTGAATTCCTTCAAGGATGGGGGGTGCTCACTGTGGCTTTTCTAATCATCTCTGATTGTTAGAGACACT